ATCTCTTGAGGCAATTCATAGCTTGTCTATCAACTCCAACAAAATCAATATTGCATTATGGGGAGAGTCAGGAGACCTGGGCCGGGTGACCTTGGGCAAGTCATTTAATCTCTCTGCTAGCATCTATGCAGAAAAAAAAGGAAAATTCTAGCTATTTCTTCAAGGGAAAGTAAGATTAATGATAGCAGATCTTCTAGACAATTGTCTCTGGCTTTCTCCGGTCCCTGGATTTATGTGTGTGCTTTTAATTTCGATTTTCATTTGAATCCAAATTCAGCTACCCACATATTGATGCAAAGACAAAGCTAGTTTGAAATATAGAAGGGTACTGCCCCCACTCAGTTAAATTTCATCTTCCTGGGCAACGGAAGCATTTGTAATTGCTCCCTCTTTTCCCTTTGAGGGAAGAGGAGGAAGGCAACAGATCAGTCCATTTAGATGAGTCATGATGCAAAAATAACTTTATTCACCCTGGAAAGTCTGTGGTTTCTTTTTCTCAGGAATCTTGTTTCCTCAACTTGGAAGGATCTGGACCCAAATTTAACTTGCCTTGTTCAACTAACCTGTGTAATGGATGACCAAGTTTGATATGCTCTTCCCTCACTGACCACTATTCTTTCCAACATACAGCTCATGCTCGAAACAGTTTTTGTAAGCTATAACTTTAGGTTAGTAAACAATACTGATCCCTTGAATGATAACCCTATGATCCAACTATCTTTCCAGTTGTCCCTTTGATGATCTTCTATTATCCTAAATGATTGGCTACCCAGCCGCGCCTTATCACCCATCTTACAACGGCATATTAAAAAAAAAAAAAAATCTCCATTCTGGGATCATTTTTACTCCTGAAAATGTACCCATTACCTGAAGTCAGATCTTACTCCTGTGATCAAGCTTAGGCTGATGTGTCTTTGAATTAGTGTGTCTATTTTCTTGGCTTCACCTATGACTGGAGTGAAAATGTTTCTTATAAGTACAGTGTACACATTCCATAGATCAAACTTTAACATATTCTTTCTTGTCATTTGTCAATCTAAGAACACATATAAAGAGCTGACTTAATAGTACTTCTTTGTCACAATCGGACATGTCAGACTGAAGAGTTTGGGTCTTGCTCTATCTCCACCGGGAATTAAAGATATTTTAACATGATCTAGAGGAGTATATGGTTTTCATTTAATAGACTGGATAGTGGCCTGCATTTCCCATGCTACCATCTCTGACTTTTCATGGTATTTTAAGCTCAATGCAGTCACCATGCTGTAATTAAATCCCAATTTTGATTGACACTTTTAATGCATAGATATTTTCTGCTGGGTTTCCGGTTGAGTCATTTCCCGAGTCTCTGGCTTGGCATAAACAGAACGGAAGGGATGCACATGATTTTCATGCATAGGTTCGAAAGCAGTTGTGTAACTCAGCTCACCAGCCTTGCAGCTCACAGGCATTCATTCCTCTAGGACACTGGGAATACTATTATCTGTAGATTTTGGTGTTGTTTTGGGTATTATTTGCTGTGTTTTCAGAGGCATTTCGTTTGGAAGTTGAGAGGCACTGCATTAAGCACAGCTAACTAGCTGTTATTTTAAGGCAGAAATCATGTGTCATTTGGAAAGCCCACTGCAGATAGATGCTCTGCAGGAAAATATGATCTGCATGCAGAATGGCAAGAAAGCCAGGAAGGAGCCACTGTTGGATTGTCCACATAAAATGAACATGTCTTGGACTCATTGCCTGGAGAGATGGCTCAGCGATTAAGAACAGTGGCTGCTCTTGCAGAAGACAGGGTTTGGTTCTGAGCATCCCCATGGTGGCTAACAGTCAGCCATAACTCCAGTTCCAGGGGAACTAACACCTCTTTTGGCCTCTCGGGCATTGTATGTGCACTAGTGCATGCAGACAAAACACTCATACACATCAACTAAAAACAATCAAAACATTGTTACAAAATGAATGCATGTCTTATGCAGGACATGTTAACTTCTTTTGCTTTCTGGACAACACAAAGTTCTATTCCTCCTACATTTGCATTCAGGCAGCTTTCAACTCCCTGCTCCCATCTGCACACAAATCTCCATTACCTTCATCTTAGATCCGACGTTATCCTTTCTGAAAGAGCTTAAATGTATGTCATTTCCTCACATAACCATCCCACCTCCTACTATAAACATATCTGACTGAAATTCGTATGCTGTATTTTTTTTAATGTATCCAAGGATGACCTTGAACTTCTGATTATCCTGTCTTATCTCCCAAGTGCTGGATTAGAGGTATGCACCACTTTAACTAGTTTCCTGCTGTGCTGGGGATGGAAACCAGGGCTTTGTGCATGTTAAACAAGCCTTGTACTAACTGAGCTACTTCCATATGCCTGCTGCACTTTTTTTCTTGCATACTATAATTTCCTGGAGGGTGAATCACAAGTCGGAATTTATGTGTCCGTTTGATGATTTTTGTATCATCTATTACCCAGGCTAACTTCAGCCTTATGTTCAGGGAGCATGGGCTCTAAATGAGCAGATGTGGTCTGTGTTATCTGAAACTGTATGAAAGATTTGCCACAGTGTTTTGCAATTGATAGGAAAGAGGAAATAAAAATCTGCCATGGGGGCGCACGCCTTTAATCCCAGCACTTGGGAGGCAGAGGTAGGCAGATTTCTGTGAGTTCGAGGCCAGCCTGGTCTCCATAGTGAATCCAGGACAGCTGGGCTACAGGGAGACCCTGTCTCAAAAAGACCGAAAAAAAAAAAATCTGCCTTTAAATCTTCTCTGTGAGTATACAGAGAAGATTAGGGATGAAAATAGCTTCTGTATTTTTATGGCTTTATATACTTTATAAAAAGCTTTACATAAAGCTTCAGGTGCTTTTTATAGCTTATATACTTTTACAGACATTTCTTTTGCAATAATGGTCACTACACGAGGCAGATGACACCATAAAGCTCAAGATCTTTATGTCCTGAATTGATTTCAAGTCTTTTAATCATTTCTCCAGAAGAAATTGCTGATGACAAAGCAAATCACCCAAAAGAGAAATTGCTCAGAGCAATTCTGAAGTAGAGGTTATTCTATTACTGCTAGAAATAATTTCAGACAATCTGGTGCAAACAAGTGCCGAAGACCGAGATGGTAACTATTCAATGACCATGTTTTTCAATTTATTGCAAGTCCAATTTCCTGATGATGCCTCACTCCTGTGAGAATTTAAAAACAAACATATTAGGGATGCTTAATAACTTTATTTTTCACATCACAAATGTACATTTACATTTGTACATTATTATACTTAGTAGTTTTGATTCTGAATTTTTTGGTAAATTTTTTAGTGAATTTTTGTGTATGTCGTACAGAACATATTTACACTCCCTTCCCCACTGGAACCCTCCCCACTGGAACCCTCCAATAGTCCCCCCCACACACTGGATTTTATGCACTGTCTCATTTGTATTAAGGCCTATTGAGTCAAGTTAGTGTTCCCAGATGTCCCTCAGTGCAAGCTCATCCAGCGAGGTCTAGTCAGCCTGTCTAGAGTCCCTCCCTTTAAGATCAGCTATGGCTAAGATTGGGGCCTGCTCCCTATAGTTCTATGCTGAATTTTTGTCTGCTTGATCTTACATGGGTCTTGTGTATGCTGATTCTATTGCTGTAGGTTCACGTGATCAAGGTCCCAGGAGCCTGTAGGACTCTATTTCCATGTGGTCATTACATCTTAACTGAATTTTGTCAGAAAGCTCTAGAACAGATTTCTATTTAAAGAAGTCCCATTCCAATGGTCAAGGCTTTGTAAGTCAGAAATAGTTTTTAACGTGAATAATTGTTTTTACTTTTCATCATTTCCTAATTGTTATTGGGCTGTTGGATTTTCTCGGGGAAGGGCTCATGCACGGAAAGCAATCTCATCACAAAGCAAATCACCCCTATAAAGCTTGCTAATTTAGCTCAAATCCCAGACAGAATTTTATTTTGTGCCTTTACAATTAGGAAGAAGAAAGAATATAGTGTGCCAACTACCAAGCTGATTTTTTTTCTTTTAAAAAAACCCCACAAAATATCAAATCTCTAATCAGAATATAGAAATCTACATGATTAATTGAGAAGAATTATTGTTCCCTGAAAAGAAGGCTTCAAGCCTTAATAAGCCCCAAGGAGAAGTAGCTGGTGACTGAGCTGCTCTTTGCATCACAGTACTACACTGGTAAGATCCAGGTGAGTGGAGTCCAGCTCCTTTGCTTTCAAGTTCTGTATGCCAAAGTAAACCCAGGGAACACAGAAATGCCATCCATGTACACAGACAAAGTAGATATTTCATACAAAACTCTCAGCATTGTACTTGCCCTACAACAAGCAGTCAACAAACACTAGCCATTAAGACACTGTTTATCTGTAACAGGAATAGAAATCATGTATTTGTAGATGATTCTTTGCTTAATGAATGATTCAACACCTTGGAAAAAGCAACCCATAGGAACACATAAGTGTTTTATAATGGCTATATAATATTTATACAATATAAATGAAGTAATTTAAAACAAGAATTAGTAAATGATTGGATACTCATACCTGAGAAATCATGTGTTGTGTGTGTGTGTACACACATGACTTTCTAAAAGATAGACAAATAAGTCTTATCATGGAAACTGAGTATTAATATTTTACCCTGTCAATGTTATGTAGACCAGGCTGGCCTCTATTTCTCAGAGATCTGCCTGCCTCTGCCTCTCAAGTGCTGGGATTAAAGAAAGAAAATCACACACAAATATATATATATATATATAAACTTTATCTGTACTTTTTCTTTTCCTAACAAAGAAAGCTATTCTATCCACCTCTTATGTGATCTCTCCAAGGTCTCCACATGTGACAGTGTCCTAAGTTCAAGTCAAATTTTGGCTAGACAAAGGTGCAGGTTGCCTTCCTTGTTCATTTCGTGTGACTTTACCAATTTCCCAAAGAAAGTCCTACAAATCTGCGCAATTTCTAAGAAAACAACCAAGCTGTTAATGAAGTAGACATTTGTTTAATTTACAAACATCAGTAGTGTAACTGATATTAGTCTGGAGAAAGACAATGCACATTGAATTATACATGTACATCTAATATTCTTTGTTAAAAAAGTGGTATTTTTTTCTGAAGAAACATCTGCATCTTCACAGGGCACCCTGGGATTTTGATAAGAGAAGAGCACAGTCTACTATAAATCATTATCACCTCTACACTGAATTCAGCAGCAAACATGTTATCATGGGAACAGTACGGTAATAAAGGATTTTTATTGTCTGGAGAAGAATTACAGGTTTTGACATAACAGTCTTTCTTCTCCCACCCTCCCCAATAAAAGAGCAAAACATGTCAGGGAAACATTGATTTGTAAAAAGTCTTCCCGCCTACTTTTGACTGCTACGGAACATGTTTTCCCCTGTGAAGACCTGGTGCAGATGGGTACACTTGGGTGTTTCAACTCTTAGATTTTGCCAGCCCTCTGCAAGTGTCCTGAACAAGGCCATAAAAGTGGTCAGCTGTCAAGGTCAACCAACAGAACAATACACGTTTATCCCAGGATAACAAAATGACATCCTATGTTAGTACTATTGCAAAAAAAAAAATCCTGATTTTTTTTTTAAGTTTGAAAATGTACAAAAATATCAGGATGATTATAAATTAATATATATTAAAGCATTGAGAAACAGCAAAAGGATGATCTAAAATGTTAAGTACAATGTACTTTGATACAATAAATAGTCCTCATTGAAACTGAATACTGTATAGGGCTATTTAGAACTCATAGAAACAAAAATTCATATTATTACTAATTTATTTATCAATAATCTATTGGTTCTTTGTCATCTCCTTTATCATTTATATTACAAAAAATTAATACTGGAAAATGGTAGATCAACACCCTTGTGTGCCGCCTTGCCAACATGCTATTGTTTAAAAAGGAAGTAATTGTATCACAGCACTCCACACCCATTTCCTCTTGTGAATGGAACCCAGACATCAGGATACTTTCTGTCTTGCACAAAATATTTCTCATCCCTTTGCTCTGTCTGTAGGTTCTGGAGTCCCATCCCCCTGCCTCACAGCCCACTCACACACATGTGCTTGATGTGTCATTGTGAACTGCATTGATATGAAGGGGGTCACAGGTTTTATGCTCTGTGCAATCTCACATTAGTGTGCAGTTGCGTGTCAGTCTCTTGTGTATGTGCTTCTGCTGTCTTAGCATGTTCCAGAGATGGATCCATATGGCAATGGTTCCCATCATTTTAATGCCTCCATGCATAACTTTCTTCACACTTTTCCAGTGTCAGGGAAGCCTTAGGTCAAGCACGTCTTTTATTATTATTTTTCCAAATGCAGACAAGTCTTTATTCTCATAATAAAAATAAGTCTGTTCTGTATTTTACAATATATTTCAAATATTTCCACTATGAAGCATGAATTAGTCCAACACGGTCAAGAAGTGTACAACCTTTGCCAAAGACAGAAGCTGCTGGAGACGCATTTAGGATGCGCACCTGGTGCAGCCACACTTCAGCACCTTCTCAACCTCGTCCACAAATGAGGATCCATCTGTGCATTCAAAAGAATATTTCCTCCTCTTGCTCCTCAGAGGTCCACAGCACTGCCCACCAGCACACCCGCCTTTACATTCCAAGCGGGACACTTTCTTTGTTGTTTGACAGGCAGCATAACCCTGCTGCTTTTGGTAATAATCTCGTATCCGTTCCCCTCGACAGGAAATTTCTAGAAGAGAACAAGACAACATAAGCATTATATAGACAGTCACTAAGTTTTGCAAGCCAAGAACTCCCTTTCGTGGGTGGCGTTTCCATCTTCTTGTCTTGCTATTTTACATTGTTGCTTATGGTCCACATTATGGGCTGGTTGGCATGGCCCACTGTTCTTGATAAATACTTCTTCTGGGCCTTTATTTCTAGCAAAGTGAATGCGATATATGTAGACAATAAACACAACATCATTACAGTGACAAGAAAATTGGATTTCTAAATCTTTTCCTTTATTGCCAAAAAGGGGAAAAATACACATCTTCTGTTTCTACACTAGTAACAGCTGGTTTTGTTTACCACGGGGAGCAGTTTCAGAGATAACGCAGTTTAATTTATTAGACCTGGAGTTTAATATTATCCAATATGTTACTTAATATAAGTAACATTCCACTAGCTTCATAAATTACCCTAGTATGAAGTAGTTCAAAAAAGAGACATCTGCTAGAAGCTTTCGCGAGCACGTTCATCTTCTTATCTATCTGTCTGATACACTAAACAAAGTCTGTGCCTGCTGGAGCCCAGGCGGATTCTGGTCTTGGAAACAAAGAAGTGGAGGAGGGAGGTAAACTGAGCCTGTTATAGTCCCACTCACCTGTACCATTTGTTGTGATAAATCAGTCAGTTCTAAGGCCAAAGGTGATTTTGTACTAAGACCAGAGCAGGATTCCTAGCTCCATCCTCTCTATGCCCAAAGCTGGATAAATAATACATGTGGGTGAGAGGGGCAGGCAGAGACAGCAGGCGTGTGCTGTACAGAGGGTGAAAAGGAGACTCTCCACAGCAAATCAAGTGACAAGTTGTCTGAATGCCATGTAAAGTCTTACTGTGGAAACTGCTCACCGTAAACCAACAGCAGCAGCACAAGCAAAGTGAAGACCTGATGTCTCCTCACTTCATTCCTCTAGCACTGAGTGTCTCTGCCACTTCCCCTTTTATGAGGGATGGGCCTTCCGGCCTGCTTTGCCAAGAAAAGGCACGCTGGCTCACCTCGATCACAGCTATCCCCGGTGTATCCACTGCTGCACTCACAGTAGGGCTGCCCGAGTCCTGAGAGTCTGCACTTCCCATGTTTGCACTTGATCATCTGGCAGGGGTTAAACAGATCCTCTTCTTCATCACAGAGAACACCCCCATGGCCCTCAAGGCACTTACAACTGTAGGAGAATGCGTTGATGGGCAAGCAGGTGCCATGGACACATCTACGGGGAGTAGGAATGCAGGAAGGAAGACACAGTTGGTACAGGAGGTCAGAATAGATGGAGTTTAGGGTGAAATCGTGTCTGAACGCAGAGAACAGAATGCTAATGGTTGATTTCTCTCCCTCCTCCCTCCTTCTACCTACGGGCTCTAGCATATGTATTTAATACCAAGCAATTGGACTTACTTGTTTCCTAGACAGGGATCGTTGGTCCTCTGGTCACAGAGGGGCCCCATCCATCCTTCCTCACACTCACAGGTGAAGCCTGATTGACTGCTGGGCTGGCACGTGCCATGAGCACACACTTTCTTATGGCATGGCTCACAGCCAGGAAGAATGCCAGTTTGCATGGGCACCTTCCGGAAGTCCTGAAGCTCACTGTTGATGTAAAGGTTCCGGATGCAGCCATGAAAGCTGGTGCCGTTCTGCCCAGGGGACTGGCGCAGAGAAGCCACGTTATTTTTCCCAGGCATGCCTAGGGAAAGACAGCATGTCGGACATCAGGCTTTTTCCAAGCTCTTAATCATTTGCTCCCCAGAAATACAGATGTGAATTCACCCCACGCCTATTAAGTGGGAATATATGGGCTCAGGTGAGGAATAAAGAGCTGGACATCTTGTTTTTTGTTTCTATTTTTGTAAGATATTTAAGGTCATTGTAATGCACAATTAGAATAAAGAACCTGGAGCAATGATGTTCAATTTTTCATTTGTAAATTTGTTTTAAACAAAACTTTGCAGACACATACATAAATAAAACTTTACAGCAGGGCTACTGCACTTAAAAGCAAGACATTAGGGCTCATTTCCCTAGGACTCTATACCAGACAACAGGCACTCCAGAAAGCCTAGAGCTCCACAAATCACTATTGATAGATAATTCCTTGATGAATTCTATCCCTGATTATAATTCAAGGGATAAGACACAGAGAGCTGGAGTCACAGCCACAAAGTCTCCCAGGTTAGAATTATGCTGATGATCTGAACTTTCTTAGTCCTGGAGCCCAGGTTCAGCCTACAGAGACTCAGAGAGTGAGAGGTGGGCTCACAGTGACCTTCACCCTATCCCTGCTGAATTCTAACTTAGCAACTAGCCCAGCACCTCATGGGTAATATCTTAGCTCAAAGATGTTAGTTCCTGAAAAAGCTTGTTTCTGTTTTGTATCAGGACAGCACCTCCTCCACATCATGCTTTTGTTCTTGCTACTTAGCATGAAACCTCCATAATTTAAAAATCAAGAACATAAAAGAAATTCCATCACAAACAGTAAGCAGTCTTGGGGAATATCCATTCCACAAGTGACAGCCATCTGGTAACTCTCAATTTGGCAAAGCAGAGGAATCTTTCCATGGCCCGAGCCAGACCCGAAAATGGTTCCTGGACAGCATTTTATAAAGAGGACCCTCTAGGTCACTGAGCAGGGAAAGGGAGGGAGCCAGGAGTTTCAGAGCCACCGATCACACCCCAGTGCTCATGAAATTGTGCGGGATGCTGAGCTACTGCCTGGGTTGTGAGTAGGGCAGACACTGACCCTCACCATTGCATTCCAGGGACACCACTCTGTGTCACAAAACCCCTTCCTTCCAAAGGACTCCCCCCATTTGTGTCCTTTCAGGCACTGAAGTCAGGCATGTATGTACCCTAAACCACTAGTCTAGAGGTCAAGTCTCTAATTTTGGTTTGAGTGTGTCATGATTGATTTTCATTGTCCATTTCACAGGATTTAGAGTCATCATATGTCTTAGTTTCTGTTCCTGTTGTTATCATTAAAACCCTAACAAAAGCAATTTGAGGGAGGAAAGCATTTACTCATAGCTCAAGGTTACATACATACATCATGGCAGGGAGGTCAAGGCAGCAGCAGCTTGAAGCAGCTAGTCACAGTACACTCACAATCAGGAACATGAGAGAGGTGAGCACTAGTACTCAGCTTCAAATTATCCATTTTTTCATCTAAGACCCCCACCCAGGGAATGATGTCATTCACAGTTAAGATGGATTTTCACATACCAATTAACATTATTAACATAGGCCTTCACATGTTAAAGGGAGGCTAAATAATAATCCTTCACTGGGAAATACACGTCTGGATTTGCCCATGAGAGTGTTTTCAGAAACGTGTAACCCAGCAAAGAAAGCATACCCTGAATGCGGGTGTTACCATTCTGTGGGATGAGGTCCTAGACTGAATGAAAAGAAGATGAGGCGCTGAGCACCGGCATTTATCTCGCTCGTCTTCCTGACTGGTTCAGTGTGATTAGCCATTGTGTCGGCTTCTGCCAACAGGGCTTCCTCGTTGTGATGAACTGCACTTTCAAACTGTGAGCCAGAATAGACCCTTTTCTTGCTTAAGTTGATTTTGTCTGGCACTAGGTCATAGCAATGAAAAAGTAACTTGCAGAGTATATTGGGGCCAGTCATTTCCCTTTTGGGGGGCTTAGTTTCCTCATCTGTGTTATGAGCAGATGGGGCCACAGCAAGACCTACTGAAGAGGTATCTTCAAAAAGCCACTTTCTGTCTCCCCACATCCTGAGATTCTGATCCTGTTGGGAAGGGGACAGGCACAGAACCTAAATGCTGACATGCCACACAGGTGAGTTCATGTAGGTGGTTCATGGTTGCACTTCAACAATTACTAAATTCTTTGTCTGGACTTTAATGTTCCACGAGTAAAGCCTTTTTAGCCAGCACATATCTGGCCTTGGAGAACGTGTTGCTACAGCAAGGTCAAAGGGATGCCATTGACCATTTCTAGGAGAGCACCAGAGACAGGAAATTCTTAGCTCTGGGTAAGTCTTTCTAAATTATGTCCACTCATCACAAACATGTGGACTTCAATGCCTCACACTTATGGTCTTTTCTTTAGAGGTTAAAAATGAAGTTCTTCTAAAAATTTTTTAATAGCTTATTCTGATGAAAGTACAATGCTCATACATGCGCACATTGAGAATAAAGTCAGATTGGGGAACTTTCATAGCAGGGAGAAATAATGAGTGAATGTGTAGAGTTTATTCCCCCAACTCACAGTTATCATAGGTCTAGCTTTGATTGTAGAATTTTTAGGACAACAAAATTACATATCATGCACAGATTTGACTTTGAATAGTATATAGCATCAGGAACCTTCCTACATTTTTTTTTTTTTTTGATCTGGGACTAGACCTAAACCCTCTTGCATACTAACCAAGCATTCTACCCCAGAACTACATTGCCAGCCAAAAACTACTCTGCAAGGGACCAAGGTCCAGGATGCATATTGCCAGTCCTCCTTGGGGATAACTGTTTTTAACTGGACTTGACCTTATTTCCCTTTGTTGATTAGGCTTCTCTTGCTTCTGCCATGCGGCACTCCAGGCTGTGGTCTATGGGTTCCTTACATTTTGAAATCTGAATTACCCTTGAGACCACAATCTGAGCAGGAAGGAAACGGGTTCAATGTGTTCTCTGGCAGCAAAGCTGAGACCAAGATGGTTTACCTTAGGCCTGGATAGACAGAGCGCTTCCTAGCCTCAGAAGGATTAGAACTTTTCATTTCAGAGCTGAATTTTATTTTCCTTTTTGGAAGTGTTCTGATCTAAACAGCTTCATCTGCGTTTTTAAAAATTGTACACCATATCCTACAAGGCTTTAAAAATATTCAGTGCAACAGTTTCCAATAAAAACATAATAAAATAAAGTTAGGGACAAGTCTAGAACCGAACAACTAAAAGCCATACAGCTCAGATCACCTCTTTTTCTGCTTTTTGTTAATAAGTGAGTGGTGATGTAGGTGACTTTGAGCAAGAAAGACCTGTGCTTAAATGAAGTATCTGCCATAAGTTCTATCTGCCAAGAACTTGGACAAGTTCATGAAGTTGGTCCTCATGGTCAGAGAAATAGAAAAATGCTGTTTAATTTATAGATTTATGTCTACCTTCTCTGAAGGTTAAAGGTTAAGATGCTAAAAGCAGCACTGGGTAAATAATTTTTTTTTTGGTCTTTTTGAGACAGGGTCTCCCTGTAGCCCCAGCTGTCCTGGAACTCACTATGTAGACCAGTCTTGCCTTGAACTCACAGAGATCTGCCTCCCCCTCCCGAGTGCTGGGATTAAAGGCGTGTGCCACCATGCCTGGCTATAATAATATTATTTTTTAAAGAAGCACTGTGGTAAGTATAGAAAATGCTTAATAATACAGCTTTGCCTCCTTCAAATCACAGTTAATATCATGACTGGGTTTAAACACTGCAATGCAATTGTGTGTGAAAATGCAAGACCTTGTACTCTGAGCCTGCAGCTCACAGAGCAGGCTAGACTGCATGGCTGGTGGGCCGTCATGACCAACTTGTCTCTACTTCCTCAGCATTTGTTAAACTTTGTATTTTAACTGCTTGGGATTATGAGTGTACCACAATGCCTGGCTTTAAAACTTTTTTTTTCATTGAGTTTTGTGCATTTCATGTACTAGATCTTAATCAAATTTTATACCCCCCCATCATCAATGCCCTCGCCCCCATATTTTATATGGCCCCTGGGGTGCAAACTCAAGTTCTTTTGTTTGTAAGGCAAGAACTGTACAGACTGAGCCATCACTCCAGCCTTCTTCATTGTCTGATTTGACTATCAATCAACTTTCTTCTTCTACAGGCAGACAGATACACACTGAATGATATGATCAACCAGCTAGCATGTAACAGGCAAGTATTAATGTCCTGCTCATCCTCATAACACACTGAGTTAGACCCAGAACCAGGATTACCAAGTACTTCAAGTTCTTTCTGTTCTGTTTATTGTCCAGTTGCAATGACTGATCAGAACTGGCCAATGATCATCACATCAGGAGCCAGTACCTTCAGAGTTAGTCTGTAATGGGAAGCACGGGTTGGGAGACCACTAGATTTACAAAGATGCTCACCTCCTACATAGAGTGGGGAGTCGAAATTCAGGGTGGACTGTTTCGACAAATTGGTGATGATTTTAGGGCTTCCCCCATCCACAGAGAGGGAGAGACTCTGATCCAGGGCCAGCAGTTCCACAATGTGGAAGTTTCCATCATTGATTGTCTCCACGCTATAATGGAAAATAAAACAATTTATCCAGAAAAGCAGTTAAAATATAAACTTCAACAAATGCCACTTTAAAAAAGAAACTCATAACTTACATCAAGGGAGCTGACATTTTAAAGGCTATTTTGAAGGAGGTTCAATTAATTTCAAATTCTCAGGAACTGAGCACAAAATAAGTCTGTTCTCCATGGAGAGGATTGGGAATGGATATATTCATTATCCAGTCACAGTCTCTCAATTTGTGGAAATCACGAAGAATAACTGATGTGTTTTCTTTTAAATGACATAAATGCTCCATTTAGTAAGATACAGTCTTCTACTGTAAATGGTTTTAAAAAGGCAAGGACCCTTTCACCCATGCTGAATATGCCATAGAGGCTCCATGCGATTCCTGGCTTCTACTCCTGGAACACTATGTATTATACCTCGCAGCACCAAGCATATGCTCAAATATAAGAAGGAAGTTGGTAGAATCCATGAACTTTTAAAAAATTTGATAATTGAAAATATACTTTTATTTCTTAGGCATTTTTGAAGAGGTGCCTCTTAAGTCACAGCACTGTAGAGAAATCTTTGCTCAGCTGAGAGTTGAGGTTAACAGTTTGAATTGAATGCTTACAGACACAATATGGCAGTGTTTTAGAGAGCCAGTCTTATTCATTATACTGTTGCCATCTAAAAATCTTGAGAGGATTTATAAAAATTCACAACATGGATAAGAGCAAAATTATTAAGGGATAGGTTTTTTGAGACAGGGTCTCCATGTAGCCCCATCTGGCCTGGTTCTTACTATGTGGACCAGGTCGGCCTCGCAATCACAGAGATCTACCTACTTCTGCCTCCCAAGTTCTGGAATTAAAGGTGTATGCCACCATACCCAGCCAAAGATACTATATGGTTTTAGACTGTGGTTATAAATATAATTTTGGTGTTACAGTGGGTTAAGAAGTTAGCAGGATGATCATGCAACTCAGTATCTAGAAGGTGTTCACAATTAAATACACAGTAAAAAAACACCATAAAATAAGCAGGGATTAAAAAATAAATGGTGAACATTAGAGGTCTAACATACTGGAATATTGTCTAGAATGACTGAAAAAAGTTTCAAACATAGATATATGGGACATATGACACAGACATTATTCCTAAATGTGCTTTGCTATGCGTGGCCATTTGGATGAGAAATGGCCCCTACGGGCTCATGTATTTGAACACTTGCTCACCAGATTGGTGGTACTGTTTGGGGGGATGTCACTGACCCTTTAGAAGGCACAGCCTTACTGAAGAAAGTAAGCCATTGGGAGTCAGGCTTTGAGAGTTTGTAGCCTCTCCCACATCCAGTTACTCTTCTTTGTGTGTGTGGTAGAAGATGTGGCCTCTCAGCTTCCTGCTCTGGCTGACTGCTGCCACACCTTCCTGTCTAATATGGACTTTTCTGGAGACATCTTGATTCCTTAAGTTGACTTTGGTCATGTACTTTTTTCACAGCAACAAAAGTAACTAATACACTGTGCAAGTATGAAGACCTGAGTTTGTAACCCCAGTGCTGAGGTCCTGGAGACAGTCAGAGCCCTGGATCATGACGGTTGGCCAGCCTACTTGAATCCGCAAGCTACAAGTTCAGTGAGAGAATTTGTCTCAGATATTAAGGTGGACAGCAACATAGAAAGGTGTCTGCCACCAACCTCTTGCTTTCACAAGCATACTGGCACACAGATGTACACACCTACATACATATACACACACGCGCACACACACACATACATGTACACTAAAAATGAGTTTATAAGGGCAGGGATTTTTGTTAGCCTGTCTCAGATATCAACTTAAAAAAAGTAAATATTTGAGCTGGTAAACTGTGACTGTGGGCAAAAGTTCTTGTCCCACAAGCCTGATGGATGGCCTGTATTCCAACCCTGAAACACACAGTGGAAGGACAGAGCTGATTCCTGAAATCTGTCTTCTGACCTCCACATCTGAGCTACAGTACAACCTCATCTGCACTGACACACACATATCACACACACACACACACACTATAAAAAACAAAAATAACTTAAATATTAGACATGCCAATCAATATTTTTCCTTCTGCATATTTAATGGTCTTACCACTTAATATTACAATTAGCAGAGTAAATATAGGGTATGGTATTACTGCCTAAGTAAAGTTGTACACTGTTACTTGGGTTAAATATGACTCTCTTTTAATGAAAAATGTTGAATTGTGATGTTAGCTCTTGGTCAAGTATAGAGGTTTTGAAGCCAAATATATCAGGATTTGAATTCTGGTTCTGCATTTGTTAAATGATTGTGTTTTCATAAATTATTTGATAACAATACACCAGCATTCTCTTTGGTGAATGGTAATAAAGATCTCTCTCCTTTATAATTAATTTGAGGTCTATAAGAAGCAATTTTTGGGAAGATGCATAGTACAACCAAGTTAACTGTTACATATTAATCACATCATCACATCCAGAACCACCATCCTATTAACAATCCTATCTAGAATCTTAAGGGAGTAATTTAATTTAATTTAATTTAAAAATATTAATTGTAGGCTGGGCATGGTGACACATGCCTTTAATCCCAGCACTCGGGAGGCAGAGGCAGGCAGATCTCTGTGAGTTCAAGGCCAGCCTGGTCTACATAGTGAGTTCCAGGACAGCTGGGGCTACAGGGAGACCCTGTCTCAAAAAGACCAAAAAAAAAATTAATTGTTACTTTGCATCTCTGGTAGGCCCAGCCCCCCAGCTTCTTGGGGCCAGCATCTTTCTTGGAGGGATCCAGGCCTTAGGAGAAAGCCTGAGAGCATCTGATCCTCATTCGACTTGGGCCTCTGTGGGAACTCCTGAGCAGGAAGATGAAATTAATTTGGCCCAATATAAAAATCAAAAGAGAGAAACTGAAGCGTAGACCAATGAACTTTTCATGCCCAACAAGTAAACCAAAAAGGCACACAAAGTTTACAAAAAGAAGCAGACCTAAACTCAGCAAAGGAAGGCTTAGGTCTCACACAAGAATCAGAAACTACAAAAAATCCACATCTCAAAGTCACAGTGAAAAAATAATAACATGAAAAACCCAAATAATATATCCCTGCCACGCACCAACAGTCTTGTAGAGGAGTACAATGAGAACACCCTAGAGATAACACCAGACATGGAACTCAAAAGAGCAATTATAAACATGATAAAAGAATTCAGTGAATTTAAAGAACACACAAAGAAATCAAAGAACTGAAGGATGATGCAGATAAAATTCTGAATGAATTCAGAAAAGAGTTAGAAATATTGAAGAATGCTCAGATTGAAATGAAGAAGGAAGTGAAACACTCAGTAAGCCAATTAGAAATGACAGGGGAAAGCCTCACCAATAGGATGAAGAAATGGAAGACAGAATATGAAGACTGGAAGATAAAGTGGACGAATTAGACCACTCAAGCAAAGATTATGAAACATTTAAGGAAACACAAGAATATTCAGGAATTGTGTGACACCATAAAAAGACCAAACTTATGAATCATAAGCATACAGGAAAGAGAAGGATCTCAGGATAATGGTATCGACCAGATCTTCAACAGGACTGTAGAAGAAAATTTCCCAAAATAAAAGAAAGATATGCCTGTATAAATACAAGAAGCACATAGAACACCAAATAGACAGGACCAGAAAATAAACTCTCCACGGCACATCATAGTGAAAACACTAAATGTTCAGAACAAAAAGAGAATACTGAAAGCTGCAAAAGAAAAACAGCAAGTGAAATATAAAGGAAAACCCATCAAATTACAGCTGACTTTTCAGTGCAAACTATGAAAGCCAGAAGAGCCTGGACCGAAGTGTTCCCACTTCTAAATGACCACAAATGCCAACCCAGATTACTTTACTCTGCCAAAATGTCTATTATAGTTGAAGGGGAAAGAAAAATCTTCCATGACATAAATAAACTGAAAGAATTCGTGTCCACAAAGCCAGCCCTTCAGAGAGTTCTTGAAGCAATACAAGGAGCTGAAGAAAGGAGCGACTATACCCAAAGGGTAACAGAAAGAAACTTAATGAACGTATAACTGTGGAAATGCACAGCTACACCATGAATGTGAACAGAAATAAAAATGACAGGAATCAGTATACATCTTTCATTAATAACTTTAAATATCAATGGACTGACTTCCCCAGTCAAAAGACACAGACTAGTTGAATGGATTAAGAAACAAACAAATCTTTTTGTTGTCTGAAAGAAACTTATCTCACTTTCAAGGACAGGCACCTTAAGGTGAAAGGATGGAAAAAATATACCAAGCAAATGGTACTAAGAAAAAAGCAGGCATTGCATTTTTAATATCTGACAAAACAGACTTCAAACCAATTCTAATCAGAAGAGATAAGGAGGGCCACTTCATTTTGATCAAAGGAACAATTGACCAAGAAGATACTACAATCATGAACATATATTCACCAAACTCTGGTGCACCTAACTTAATAAAACAGTACCATAGGACATTAAGACCCAGATTAATCCTAACTCATTAATAGTTGGGGACTTCAATACCCCATTGTCTCCATTAGCTAGGTCAACAGGACAGAGAATTAACAGAGAGTCAACTGAATTAAACAATACCATACATCAAATGGGTCTAACAGATATCTACCGAATATTCCACCCAAGTACCAAAGAATATAATTTCTGTTCAGCGCCCCATGGAACTTTTTCCAATACTGACCGTATACTGGGGCACAAAACAAACCCCAACAAATAAAAAATATTGAAATAACTCTATGCATTCTATCAGACCACAATGCAATAAAGCATAAAATCAACACCAGAAGAAACCCCAGTAACCACATGAACACATGGAGATTAAACAACATACTCCTGAATGATGAATGAGTCAAAGGAGAAATTAAGAAAGAAATCAGAGTATTCCTGGAACTAAGCAAGAAGGACAATACAACACAACAAAACCTCTGGGACACATTGAAAGTAATCCTTAGAGTGAAG